CACCCAGCACACACACTTTTTGCCCCACTCCCCTCAGGAAGGAGGTTAAGGAGCATTAAGTGTAGAACCACTAGACTGAGGAACAGCTTCTACCCTGAGGCTGTTAGACTCATGAATCTCTAACTAGAATAATCACTGTGAAAAACCATATCATGTTGCTGCTGATCTGTTTCATGTTGCTGCTGATCTGTTTAAATGTTGCTGCTGATCTGTTTCATGTTGCTGCTGATCTGTTTCAATGTTGATGTGTTCATGCGTGCACATCTGCTCACAGACTCATGTTCATGTTTGTGCTGATGTTCAATGTTTTATGTTATGAGTGCTTAGTGTATATTTAGTTGATGTTTTTCTTAGTTCATATCTTAGATGTTATTACTGTTTTTCTTATACATTTTATTGTTGGATGTAACTGGGACCCTGTGGACATAATTTCGCTCCACCACATGTACCACATGAGGTGCAAATGACAATAAAGAAACTCTGACTCTGACATTTTATTAAACTTTATAAAACTGTAAACTTTATAACTCTAGATGTAATAAAAATCATCTTCCACACAGAAAATAAAGAACAAATGTTTTTATGAAACAGAACATTTTTTAAAAGTTGTACACTGAAAAGTTTTAATAATTTCCATCTTTATTCTGCCAGAAATGTGACGCAGCTCCTGCAGGAAGTCACGCAGGCTGCACAGGAAGTGCTGCTACTGCCACTTCTGCTTGAAATCAATCAATCAATAAATCAATCAATAAATCAATCAATAAATCAGTCAATAAATCAGTCAATAAATCAATAAATCAATCAATGTTTTTACAATCGTTGGTGGTGTAAAGGTTTTAAGTTCTGATATATTTTATCTTTAAACTCAGTGCAATCAATCTGCAGCAGGTAAGATGTTTACAGTTAATTTCTAAAACAGCCTTAAATAAACCGAAGCTGAACAAGTTTAGAAATAAAATCATTTCCTTTCAAGTAAAATAAATAAAATCCACATAAATCAAAGGATCTGTTCTGTTTGAAGCGACTCTTTGATCCTCAGGAAGCTGGACCTGCTGACAGAACCTCTCCAAATGGACCTCAGTGTGATGATCAGAACCGGGTCGATGACATCACTTCCTCTGATTCTAACAAAACAACAGAAGTTAGAGATAAAGGAGTGATCCCAACATCTGAGGATTTTCTATCTCTGCTGACTCGTTGTTTCCTCACGGGAAGGGGGGGGGGGGCCAGCGGGGGGGAGGGTGCAGCTGGGAGTAGTGGGAGGGGCACTTTCGGGGGAAGGGGGCAGCTGGGGGTAGTGCGGGGGGGGGGGCTGGACCTGGCCTCCTTTGGATGACAGGAAGCGGATCTTTTGCCTGAGGGCCTCGGCCTGCTCTGACTGGGTTTTTACCAGCTTCTTCAGGTTCTGGATGCTCTCCTGGTCCGAGCGCCTCCTGGAGTCCAGTAACTGCCGCTGGCTCTGGAGAACAAAGAAACAAAGAAACGTGAGGAGCGAGTTCAGCACCAGGAGGAAACCTCTAGTTCTAGTTCTGGTTCTGTTCTCTTGGCCGACATCGACTTCCTTCAGATCTGAGTCAGTTTAAAAAGTTATTTTCATCGCCTGCCGTGGAGCAAAGACAGGACGTGTCCTTCTGTCTGTCCATCTCATGGAGTGAAGACGGGACGTGTCCTTCTGTCCGTCCATCTCGTGGAGTGAAGACGGGACGTGTCCTTCTGTCCGGCCATCT